CTATTTGGGGGAGGGTAATTCCTTAAAAAATTTCTTCTACAGAAATTGATAGTTTCTATCTTTAATGCAGTAAATTTAATAAACTGTATTTTCCCAGAAAATTATCTACTTCCTAGTTTTTCAGACTTTTCAAAATAAAAGTATGTTATGGACTCTCAAGATTTTTAAAATTTCTTTTGTTTCAACAATTATTTCCCCCTCATTCTTTCTAATTTTATATATTTGCGCTTTCTCCTTTTTTTCCTGATTAAGCTACACAGTATTTCTATTTTGTTAATTTTTTTCAAAAAAAGATTTCAATTAATTAGATCTGCTTTTTAACATTCTAGTAAATTCTGCTTTTAAACTTTTGGTTACTTTGTTGCTCTTTTTCCAGCTTTTAGAATTGGGAAATTATTTCATTCTTTTATTTTCTTGATACAAGTGTTTAAACACTGTCCCACTGCGAAACATTAAAGTTGAAGCTACAATTAAGGTTGCTAATCAGTGACCTTGAGATAATCCACAGTTACCTGGATGGGCCCCATGTAATCACACTGTGAGGATCTGCAGCCCACTCTGGGGCAGGTTTCTGCCACAATAGCACAGAGGCCAGGACAGGAGAGGAGGCAGCAGCAGTCGGGAATTCACCAACAACCCCTTCCTGGTGAGAAGGGACTAAATTGTCATGTGACTTGCTTGGCCAATGAAAACATAGCAGATAGGACACTAGCAGGGGCTTAGGAATGTGTTTTCACAGTGGGGCTTGCTGTGTCTTCCTCTAGCAGCCCCAGAAGAACACGCCTGGCTGCCTACTAATCCAAAAGGGGTAAGAGACAAGTGAGGCAGAACCACTCCAGCCGACCTGATAGGCACAGTAGACATTACGGCATGGTGGACAAAGGGATGGACCCCTGGAGAGGGGCTCAGCATATGTCCTCCCTCCTCCCTTTGTGGTTCAGTCCAAACCCCACTGTCTCCAACATTCCCTGGTTCCCCCACTCTGTGACATCACTGCCAGCCTCCTGTCCACTCTGCCAGCTGCAGGTGAGTGAGGCTCATAGGTTAGACCTAAGGGTAGGAGGGGGTAATCTTTCTGTACTAAAATAGAAAATGCCCCCAACACTCCAGGACACCTATTCACTTTGTTACAAGAAGCACCCCTTATTTGCCTTGACCACACTGTTTCTCTGTTTCTGGGTCTCAGTCTCCCCATCTGTGCTGAAAGTCTCCTAAGGGCTCTCCAAGCTCCAGACGACTTCCTGTTTGACCTCGTTGATCTTTCTTACTCTGATCAAAGTGCTGTGGGGTCCCTAGAGAACCGAAACTCAACAATCCACTGGGGACAGCCCAAGGGCCCTTTTCTTTGGCTCCTGCTTCCCTCTAGAGGCGGGCATTGGTAATGCAAGAAACACCACACCCGACTCCGTCCCAGTGAGCATCTCAGTGACATTAAACGCTTACTATGTGCCGGATGCCCTCCAAAGCACTTGACATCTTTATGTCACCAAATCCTTACAACAGCATTCTGCGGGTAGGTTTCACCATACCATTGTACAGACTGGAAAACTGAGGTTCAAGGAGGCTAAGTGGCCCGAAATTACACAGCAAGATGCAACAGGAATTAGGAACTAAAGTCCATCTAAGTTAAAAAGGAGTGTGCTTTTAACTGTTATGCTGTTCTGCCAGGCTTCAGATGGAGCGTTTCCATTTAAAAACCACTTACCATCAACTCTTGGAGGTCAAGGTGGTTCTGAACATCTCATTCTGGAATTGTATAGACAGAATAAACTACATTAAAATCCCAGCTGTTCCTGTTGGCTGCCACACCTGAGCAAGTGACCTTTCTTAGGCTCAATTCCCTCCATCTGGAAAATCAGACAAAGTCCCTTCTTTGCAAGGTGGAGAGGAAAATGAAATGAGCTCAGAGATGTCAAAGGACCTGCCCAAATGCTCAATGAATGTCAGTGTTCTTGACATCATGGCTGTTTCTATTCCCATAACTTTCTGAGATTTTTTTTTTAAAGCCTGTTCATGGAAGGGAGAATGGGGTGAAGGATTGAGCTTCTTGAAGGAGGTCACACCTGAGCTGTCTTCAAGTGTAATGAGGAGAGGACATGGAGGTGCAGGTTGCAGCTTGTGCAGAGGCACAGGGATAGAACAGTAAGAGAAAGTCTGGAGCACAGCCAGCAGCTCCTATGGCTGAAGAGTAGTGACTGAGTTGGAACCAGTGGAGCTGGCAAAGTTCACAGGGGCAGATCCTCAGACAAGTTTGAACAGCAGAACAGGGGAGCCACTGAGGGTTTAAGGCAGAGGAGGAGTGATCTAACAGGATTGGCACCAGGGACAGATCTTCTGGTTGCAGATGAGCCACCAGAGAGGCTAGTGGGAAAGCAGTGGTCAGGATCCAAAGACAGGAGGTGCTAGTGGTGAGGGCAATGGGAATGGAGGGTGCGACAATGGAGATATTTATGGGATAGATTCAAAAGACCTTGATGAATGTGAACAGACGGGAGGTAAGGGGTGCCCCATTTCTAGCTGCAGACACAAAATGAATAGTGGTACCTGTCCCCAAAATAGGAAACATGAGAGGAGGAAAAGCACGTTTGGGATGGAGAGGGTGGGGAAGAGAGGTGGTCCCACCAGCAGGCAGCCAAAAGCAACCCTATAAGTCATCCATAAAGCTATTAATCAACTTGGCAGATGGGTGAGGCAGGTGGTGTCCTGCTGGTTGTGACATTCCTTGCTACTCCCTGGTGACAGCACCTGCTTGAACCCTGAACCAAAGTGAGATACATACAGGTTCATCCAACCATGCCACAAATGCTGTTAACCACCTGTCCTACACCCTGCACTGGGGACTCAGCAGCGAACACAGAAGACTCCCTGCCTTCCTGGGTTTACTAATGGGAAAGTGAGTACAAGAACATAAATGAATTCTAGGCTACTTCTGAACATGACAAGGGCTGCAGAGAAGCATGAGGTGGGGAAGGGAAATAGAGAGTGCTGGGAGTGGGGAGGAGGCTTAAACAGAGGGAATAAATGGAGAGAATTAAATAGAGTAAATGGGCCAGAGAAGGCCTCACTAGAAAAAGTGTTCATGGCTGGGTGTGGTGGCTCACACCTATAATCCCTGCACCTTGGGAGGCCGAGGCAGGCAGATTTCCTGAGGTCAGGAGTTCGAGACCAGCCTGGCTAACATGGTGAAACCCCGTCTCTACTAAAAACACAAAAATTAGCCGGGCATGGTAGTGCGTGCCTGTAATCCGAGCTACTCAGGAGGCTAAGGAATGAGAATCGCTTGAACCCCGAAGGCGGAGTTTGCAGTGAAAAAAAGATAAAGTGTTCTCTAAGCAAAGGTTTGAAAGAAGTGAGAGAATGAATCTTGTGGATCTCTAGGGGAAGAGCATTCCAGCAGAAGGTGGAGCAAATGCAAAGAGCAATATGTTTGGTGTGGCAGGAAAGGGATGAAGGGTAAAGTAGCAGTAGACAGTGAGGGACAGGTGGATAAATGGTTAGATTATGAGTTGTTTCGAGAGGCCCAGGGAAGGACTTTTCTTTTACTCTGCATGATACTGGAAGCCACTGGGAGGTTCTGGGCAGAGGTGTGACATGATCTAATGTCTGTAGGAGGAGGATTCATCTGTGTTGATGCTTAATGCTGATGGTTTGGAGCCGTTGCAATAATCCAAGTAAGAGATGCTGGTGACTGAGGCTGGAGAGGAGCACTGGACAGGTGGGAAGCCACTGCCCAAGGATGAGGCCATGGAGTGAACCCAGTGTGCTGTGATTGGCACACGACCACTGATGATGGAAATTTCCAAAGTGGGGCTTTAGCCACAGAGAAAGGGGAGCAAGAGCAGATGGCCAGAGCCTGGAAAAGAGAAAGGAGGTTGGGAATAAGATAGACTTACAACCTTGGGTCATCAGAGCTGGGAGAATCCTTGGAAAGATGGATGATGCAGCACACTGACTTCCTGTGGCAGATGCGGGGGACCTCAGCATGGGCTAGCCCAAAGCCACACAGCAAGTTAGTGGCAGTGCCAGGACTGGGACCAGCAAAGCTGAGCTGCATCATCATGCTCCCGTGGGACCTGGGCCCAGCTGGAATAATGGAGCCAACAAACCATATGGGAAGACAATGAGCACAGAAAGCACTTTGAGGCACCTCCCATCAGAGTGGCCAGTTTACAGACAATTAAACACTCATCACTCCAAGGTGGTATTACTGTTCCCATTTTCCAGATAAGAAAGGGAGGCCAGTGGCTGGGCAAATTGACTCATGCCTGTAATTCCAGCACTTTAGGAGACCGAGGCAGGAGGACCACTTGAGGCCAAGAGTTTAAGACCAGCCTGGGAAGAATAGCAAGATACCGTCTCTACAAAAAGTAAAAAAAAAAAAAAAAAAAAAAATAGCCAGGTTTGGTGTCACACATCTGGAGTCCCAGCTACTCAGGAAGCTGAGGCAGGAGGATCACTTGAGCCTAGGAGTTCAAGGTTGCAGTGAGCTATGATTATGCCACTTCGCTCCTGCCTGGGCTACAAAGCAAGACTCTGTCTCAAAAAATAAATAAATAAAATAAAATAAAGTGAGGCACGAAGAGATTACAGAACCCACCCAAGAGCACACACACACCTAGAGAGAAGGCAAATCTGACTCTTAAACACGAGCTTGTCTCCATGGGCTGCCGCATCTCCTGGGGTTCTGCTGCTATGGGACCTGGCAAAGAAGAGATTCACGTTTTTCAGCTACAGTCTTAAGTTCATCTAGAAAACGACGCTGCCCAGAGAACTGTGCCGGACCTCCAACATCTGCGGTTCAAGAAGGCGACCCTACAGGTAAAGACTGGCAGAGTGGAGGCTCCAAGTCCTTTCCACAGGTAGGAGAAATGTGCACGCTTGAGGAAAGACCGGCCCTCAGAGTGGTGGGCCCAGGCAGGTGGGCCTGGAACTGCTGGCCACAGGGAGCTACAGCAGGTCAGAGAGAGGGGAGGGCCCACTATGACCCAGTGCTTAAATAACAATGGGTTTCTGGGATTGGAGCTGCAGAGCCAGGAGCCCCAGTGCCCTTTCCTCCTCCCACCGCCCACCAAAACATGGGGTCCAAGATCTTCTGTTGTTGCCGCAAGACCAGCGAGGGGTCTTCTACCACTGCTGGCTTCCACAATCCAAGAATGTTCCAACAGCATCATCCACGGTCCTTTAGTAGGTTCCAGGAGTGGGTGTATGATAGTGTCGGGAACATCTGATGATTCTCTGTGCCTCGGCCTCCCCAGCCACCTCCTGCTGGGACATGCCCAGATTTCCTTCAGCCTTCTGGGAGTGTGGAAAGGGCATACTCAAACCTGTAACGACACAACCTAAAGACTCTATGAGTTATTAGAGATTAGTTATTAGGTAGCAGATATTCGTTGAAATCACTGGCTTTAGTCCTCCATAGTAGTTTATTGATTCATTTAATTTCTCACTGAGTTTGTGGTATTTTATTAGATGGTAGTTTAAACTCTGCCTCGGCTGCTTACTGAATTTGGGCATGTCGCCGACCCTCCCTCTCTAAGCCTCAGCATCCTTCTCTCCAAAATGAGGATAACGATAATATATCGCCCACTGTGCAGGCTGTTAGAAGATGAAGGGAGACACTGTGTGTAAGTGAATGCATATGGCCACACACAAAGAAGACATTCAGCAAATGATATCTGTGGATGTGTATTAGGATCAGCTGGGCCATGCTGAGGTAATGAGTGAACTCTAAAATCTCCATTGCTTTACCCAGCTTGAGATCATTCTTAGCTCACACAAGCAAACTTTTATTTTTAAAGCCATGAATGATCTGAGGAGTCTCTGAGTGGAGTATGGCCAAGATAGGTTATTCACGTATCACTCAAAGCCTTTACCCAGGATAAGTTTATTCCTCTGTTCTTTCAGATCTGAACACAAATTCTCTCCACAGTGCTGCACCAAACAGACATCCACGCCTCCCCCATGACAAACGCGTGATGCTCAAGGCGTGCACCCTCAGGAGGCCATGAGCATTCTAGTCGGCGGCACCCACGTGGTCCCTGAGGCTGCACGGCTGCTGCGCTTCCATGAGGAAGAGGGTGGTGGACAGGAGTCATGAAGACTGATTCAGAAACTCCCCTGCAGGAGGAGAAGATGTCTGAGCCATCCCTGTGCCACCACCAAGAGTCACTCCAGCTTCTGAAAAAGCCACCATTGGGGGAGCTGCCTCCAATTAAAGTCCGTGGTCACATCAGAGGAAGTGTCTCTCCTCCTTCCCCCTTTGCCAGCCCTACCTCTGTGATTCCCAAGAATTAGACCCTGGCGCCTCTTGGAAAGAAATGCGGTTTTATCATTTTAACACATTAACACATTTTTTTTCAGTCACTCCTAACCAACCTAACAAGGAAGTGCTCTATTAGGAAAGGCCAGTTTGCATAACAGGCCGCTGTCATAAACGTCCAGAGCTTGAGGGCACACAATTCTGCTCACCTACTGTGCGACTCCATTTGACGCTCAGGGCCACAGGGAACAGCAGGGCAGGTTGTGAAAAACTCTGCAAACAGCAGCCCTAGAGTTATGCAACACGTAGCCAGTGCAGATACGCAGCACTGCTCGTGCTGAAACACGGAGCATGCGACTGTGATTACCATGCAGAGGACCCCACATGGTTTCCACATTAGCCAGGGAGCCAGGCACAGAAGTGTATCACTCTGCCATAACAGGGCAAACACTTGGAGAGCAAAATGACAAAGAAGCATTTTGCCACTGACTTGGGGATTCATGGAAGGCTTCCTGGAGGAGATGGGGCTTCAGTTTTCTGAAGGTTGAAAGGGAGTTAGCCGGCCGGGCGCGGTGGCTCAAGCCTGTAATCCCAGCACTTTGGGAGGCCGAGACGGGCGGATCACAAGGTCAGGAGATCGAGACCATCCTGGCTAACACGGTGAAACCCTGTCTCTACTAAAAAATACAAAAACTAGCTGGGCGAGGTGGCGGACGCCTGTAGTCCCAGCTACTCGGGAGGCTGAGGCAGGAGAATGGCGTGAACCCGGGAGGCGGAGCTTGCAGTGAGCTGAGATCCGGCCACTGCACTCCAGTCTGGGCGACACAGGGAGACTCTGTCTCAACAAAAAAAAAAAAAAAAAAAAAAAAAAGAAAGGGAGTTAGCCAAAAGGAGAGGGGATGATATTCCAGAAGGAGGGAATACAATCAGCAAAGTTGGAAAATAGGGACACGACCCGGGAAGGCATGAGGGTAGCAAAGTACCAAGTCTGGAGTAACTCAAGTGAAAACCTGAGCCAGGGTTTGGTGGGAGGTGAGCAGAACACCAAGAGCTTTGTATCCAGGGAAAGGGAGCTGGACTCTATCTTGAAAATAATGGGAAGCCACAGATGAGTTTTAAGCAACAAAGTGACACAGTCCTGATTTCCGACTTTTGTACTATGAACAGTGCCTTAGTCTGTTCGGGCTACTAAAATAAAATACCATAACTGGGTGACTTACAAACAACAGAAGTTTATTTCTCACAGTTTTGGAGGCTGGGAAATCCAAGCTCAAGGCCCCAGCAGAATCAGTGTCTGGCGAGGGCCCGTTCCTCATAGAGGGCGCTTCTTGCTGTGTTCTCACATAGCAGAAGGGGTGAGGGGTCTCTCTCAGGCTCTTTCATAAGGGCACTAATCTCAATCATGAGGGCTCTGCTCTCATGACCTAATCCTCCTAAACCTCCCAAAGTCTGCAATTCTGAAACCATCACCTTGGGAGTTAAGATTTCAACATATGAATTTGAGGGGACATTAGACCATACCAAACAAGGTGAGTTGGAAGACAATGCCTTTTTGTTTGTTTGTTTGAGATGGAGTCTTGCTCTGTCACCCAGCCTGAAGGGCAGTGGCATGATCTCCACTCACTGAAACCTCCACCTCCCAGGTGCAAGGATTCTCCTGCCTCAGCCTCCCAAGTAGCTACAGGAACGTGCCACTACACCCAGCTGATTTTTGTATTTTTAGTAGAAACAGGTTTTTGCCATTTTGGCCAGGCTGGTCTTAAACTCCTGACCTCAGGTGATCCGCCCACCTCAACCTCCCAAAGTGCTGGGATTACAGGCGTGAGCCACTGCACCTGGCCAGAAGACAACTTATTAATTAACACTCCTTGTGCCTGCCCTGCCTCAGAAAAGTGAAGAATAAAGGAATATGGCCATGGGATTGTGGAGTAAAAGTCACACCTTCAATGAAAAGCCCATCCTGGCTACAATTTGAAGGACGGATTTTTTTTTTTTTTTTTTTTTTTGAGACAGAGTCTCGCTCTGTCATCCAGGCTGAAGTGCAGTGGCGTGATCTCAGCTCACTGCAACCTCCATCTCTCAAGTTCAAGAGATTCTCCTGCCTTAGCCTCCCAAGTAGCTGGGATTACAGGTGCGTGTCACCACGATTTGAGTATAATAATAATCGCAATAGACAGTCCGGTACATTGCTTACTCTGTGCCAGGTCCTCTTCTAAGTGCTTCATAAATATCAACCCAATCAGCAAAATAACCCAAAAAGGTTAGAACTATTACTACCTGATTTTACAGATTAGGGAACTGAGACACAGGTTAAATAAATCTTTTAAGGTTTACACTAATTCACATTAAGTGCCAGAGCTAAGACTTGAACTCAAAAACGCAACTGCAGAGTCCACACTTTTAACCACTTGGTTATGCAGCCCCTCGATAATGGTAGAATGACATTCAGTTATTGCTCTGGACCCCAAATTGACTGTTCATTGCCTGCTCTTCAAAAATGGAACTGGCCCTTTAAATATTTTTATGTTGGTAGTTGGTGCAATATTAGGCTCTGTCAGGAGGGGGTGCTAGAGACATTGGAGGAGGAAGGGGCCTTCCTTCCTGGTTGTAAGGGGCCCATCTTAACAGCACACAACTCACAGCTTCTCCAACATCACCCTCCTGCAGTGCAGGCAACTTTTCCAGAACAGGAATCCTGCAGAGGATGGTGGTCAGTAGCACTTTGCAACTAACAGCTTCTCCTAGTGTCCCCCACAAATAGGAGGTGTGCCTCTAATCAGACACCGTTCCATGACAGATATCCCTGGCACCCAAGGGCAGACTCTAGAACATTCTCCCAGACTTCTCTGCCATTGTAAGCCACAGCCACCCCCTTCCCAGCAAGATCTGGATCTCAGCTGGGGATAGAGCCTGGGGGTGTTCTTTCTTAGTTCTAGGGGTGCTGGCTGCTCCTTATGTCCATTATTCCTATATTCTTTAAAGCTCTCCTGACTTCTTACCACTCCTTCATTACTCCAATCCCCTGTTCTAGTTAGTACTTACATTAAACTTCTCATATTCAAATTGTTATGTGGTTTCTGTCTCCCAATTGGATCATGACTAATGCAGAAATCCAATTAAGAGGCTGGGTTTATGTCTGTGGCCCCAGAACTACAGGAGGCAGAGACAGGAGGATCACTTGAGGCCAGGAGTTTGAGATCAGCCTGAGCAACACAGCAAGACCCCAGCTCTACCAAAACAAAACAAAACAAATTAAGCAACTGCCTAGGTGATCAGGACAGACAGTGATACAGGCCTACAGTAGGGCAGCAGCAGTAAGGATGAAGAGGGCCTTGAGTCGTATTTCTCAAGCAAGGCTGGCCAATTCTAACTCAGAACCGTACAGGAAAGAAGATTCTGGAGAATGAGGTCCTTGTGGTATTGAGGCCAAGTGGACAACACACAGCAGATCACTTAATTTTGGGCTATTCCAAGCTGGAGGGGCCTGTGGGACATCTGGATGGCCATTATTAAGAAGGTTGGCAATATTTAGCAGGAAAAGGTAAAAGAACTATAGTTGGAAGGAAGCAGAGGGGCTTACCACATGTGTGCGGAGTTGTCAGCTCACAGCATTGTGGCACCTCTTCCCCATGGGATGAGACCCCACTGGCATCCGTTGGGTGAAGATACAGTTCACTTTCCCAGACCTCATGTCCAGAGTCCTCTTCCACTGCCCGTTCTCATACTGTATCCACTGGACCCACCCTCTTACCCAGATTCCCCTTGTCCTGTGCATTCCTCACCTCCTCCCATGCCAGGGTCCCACTTTCCTTCTCCAGCAAACCCCATGTTCCTTATTTCTTGGAGCTGCTTCCTGCAACAACTATAGCAGGTGCTTTACACAAAAAAGATGCTCCTTAAATGTCACTTCCTATTTTGATAATTTAGAAACTCCTTCACAGAAGGGATGCAAAGAAGCCTCCATCCTGTGACTTTTTTAAAGAGCTCTCAGACACAGGGTGACATCTTTCTTTGAAGGATTCTCAAATAATAACAATAACAATAATCATGGAGGCCACAGCTGGATTTACTTCTGATCATGGCAAACTAGCTTATATCAGACCAACCCTCCTGCTGACAGCAGTTTAAAAGCAATTGTTTTTTTTTTTCTTAAGTGTGTTTGAATGCATCAGAGAGATATCAACATAGTGAGGACATGAGGGGCCAAGATGCTGAAGAGGAAAGTACAGAGAGAGGAGATGAACAATGAAGCCTTCTTATCCCCTTGAGGCACCTGCCAAGTCCTAAGCAGAGTCCAAGTAGCTGAAAAGCAGAGTAAAGCTTTCAGAAGTCTCACAGCTTGGGGTAACAAAAATTGGAGGTTTAGGACTCACCATGAAAGAGGAGTCCTGGTTAGAGATATATATATATATTATTTATATATAATATAAATATATTATAAATATATATTATATATTAATATATATTAATACACATATATGTATATATACACACATATTTATATACATATATATATATTAGCTAAAACCCCTGAAGGGCTACAGCCTGAGAGTAAGGTGTAATCACAACTAGACTAGCTCTTACAAAGCCCAGGGTCAAGTTTATCTCAAGCCTACTTTTCCCAGAGGTAAAAGTAAATCCTGTCTGAGGGAAGATCCAGAGCCTTGTATATCTCCTTCGATATTTCATTTTTCAAAATATCTAGCATTTAATGAAAAATTACCATGAATATCAAAAAATAAGACCAACTGACTGAAGAGCAAAAGGAAAAAAAAAAACCAGATATTGGAGTTTGCAGACATGAACTTTAAAAGCAGTACAATTAGCAGGGCGTGGTGGCTCACGCCTGTAATCCCAGCACTTTGGGAGGTCGAGGCAGGCAGATCACGAGGTCAGGAGATCGAGACCATCCTGGTAACACGGTGAAACCCCGTCTCTACTAAAAATGCAAAAAAAAATTAGCCGGGCGTGGT